TGTAAATTCCTGCCGGACTTGAGACTCGAACTCGCAACCTTTGGGTTACGAGTCCGACTCTCTAACCATTAGGCCACGACTTCCCCACAAAGACTCTTAACAATAAGGCTGGATGCAGAGGAAACGCACTCCGCCAGAACAGATGTTGCAAAAGAAAATAATTGGAATTGCGCAAATGTCAGAAAAAGAACTAAGAGCGCATATGGATTCTTGATGCAGGAGCTAAATGCATCATGACTTGGACTTGAGTCTGAGTTCATGTGGTGTACTCTCATATTACACAAAATTCCATTCTCAGAAATCTCTAACATACGTGTGCACACTTACAACCCTCTACACACACCGTGGCAATATAATCGCCATTGGCTACTAAATTTTTTAACTTACTCGCCAGATTGATATACTAATTTACACACACACACACACACACACAGAACATACATACATACATACATACAAACACACACACACACACACACACACACACACATACATACATACATACATACATACATATATATATATATATATATATATATATATATATATATATATATATATATATATATATATATATATATATATATATATATATATATATATATATATATATATATATATATATATATATATATATATATATATATATATATATATATATATATATATATATATATATATATATATATATATATATATATATATATATATATATATATATATATATATATATATATATATATATATATATATATATATATATATATATATATATATATATATATATATATATATATATATATATATATATATATATATATATATATATATATATATATATATATATATATATATATATATATATATATATATATATATATATATATATATATATATATATATATATATATATATATATATATATATATATATATATATATATATATATATATATATATATATATATATATATATATATATATATATATATATATATATATATATATATATATATATATATATATATATATATATATATATATATATATATATATATATATATATATATATATATATATATATATATATATATATATATATATATATATATATATATATATATATATATATATATATATATATATATATATATATATATATATATATATATATATATATATATATATATATATATATATATATATATATATATATATATATATATATATATATATATATATATATATATATATATATATATATATATATATATATATATATATATATATATATATATATATATATATATATATATATATATATATATATATATATATATATATATATATATATATATATATATATATATATATATATATATATATATATATATATATATATATATATATATATATATATATATATATATATATATATATATATATATATATATATATATATATATATATATATATATATATATATATATATATATATATATATATATATATATATATATATACACACACATACATACATATATTATACACACACATACACACACGAAAGCTAGTGTTTTTTTGTTTGTTTTTTTAAATAAAAAAATAAAAAAAGAAGATAAATATAGATAAAGTAGAATTAAAATAGAATAAGAAAGTGCTAGAGTTAGAGGGTCAAATAAAGGTGGATATATATACTTAATAACAGTATATAATTAACAGTATATACTTAATTTATGAAAAACAGTGGTAGTGCTTCACTATATTTAACGTTAAACAAGTAATTAGTCGGTTTAAATATTTGATAATATCTTTTATTCGTTAAATGTCCCCAGCAAAGAAAAACAGTTTTACGTACGTTTTATACGTAACGTAACGTGTTATATTCACGTTAAGATAATTATCTCCATAGATATCGGAATATAGGAAGCAGGTGGTCGTTCATGTAAGGTATACAGTAACAAAAGCAAGTGTGCACCTCAGAAAACAGAGTTTAAGTTAAAACGAGAAATTAACATAAGCGAATAGTTACTCACACGACAATAGTCCTTAACATTTCTACTCAGAAAGAGCCGCCTCTCCACAACAACGGGCATCTCGCAAACTGCACTAGGGCTAAACTTTAAAATAAAGATATTTACTTGAAATAAAGAGATTAATATTTTATGGTGAGTAAATAAAACGTATAGCTAATAACTCCGAAACCTCTGAAGAGCGACAACACAAGCGCCTAAACATTTAAACGATTGTACTGTAAATCCCGAACGTACTAATAAATCAGTGGGGGCGTTAATGATAACCAGTGTATTTTAACCTCAATGTGCAACCCTTTTTTTTTTTTTTACCTCTTTCTTCACATTACATTGACTGTACCTTGCCGCCATACGTGGATAAATGTGATTTGAGGAATTAAACAACAAGCAATGCTGCATTTCTTCTATAGCGTACCCTATGAGGTACAATGGACGGTTCCAAAATACCGGCGAAGGCTTAGCTCATGAATATCAATTAGGACGCGCTGGCATTGCTTAGCAACCTTACTGAAGCTTCCAGACCCTAAGTTCCAGACACGCAACGTACGTAATTAATATTCATAAGTCAAGTCTTCCCCACTGTAGGATGGGAAAATCTCTCCAATGGTTAAAACGTTTGGAATTCCAAACTCCCTAAAGCCCTGCTCGGAAGAGATTAGTTTAACTTGGAGATGTAGGGTAAGGTAATAACTATCAGAGCCTTTGTGTGATTTTAATCTTGTCCGAGTCGGACAGTAATTTTTAGTATTGTAGCGTCTTTGCTATAAAGTAATACCTCGTTTCTCTGGTTCTCGAGTTTCTGAAATGGGCGCTGGACACACAGAAGACCCATGCAAATGAAAGGAGGGGCTTCACAACTTATTCAGAGAGATAATACTGACTGTTGCGAACGTGAAGCATGCTTTCCTCCGGCATTTTATCAAGCTGTCGCTTCAAACGCTTTATGTAAAAGATTCAGCATAATAAATGAAAATAAGCACACTAAGTGGGGGAACTGGAGGTTTATATTTCGCAACGGCCCTAAAAGGCTCCCAAACGAGCGCATTAACAGCAACCAAGCAAATATAGATGCTCCAACAACCGTTTAAATTCATTCAGTGACTGTTTAGTGTAAAATGCAGCTTTTACTTTACTTACAATCGCCATCAAAGGCTGGGACTGACTGTTAATATGCAACATAACTTCACATTAAAAAGAAAGACCACACTGGACAAAAAAGTACCATAGTACTACCATACAAACTACTATAGCATAATACAATGTGTGAAATTTGAAATACATTAATGTCACATGACTGTGGTAATTTCTCTCTCTCTCGCTCTCACACACACACACACACACACACAGACACACACACAGACACACACACACACACACACACACACACACAGAGAGAGAAAGAGAGACATTGGTGCATTTAAAAGACTCCAGGAAATCAAAAAGTTTACATGTCATATTAGTAACATACTTAATATAACTTTTCTACAAATACTAGAAACAAATTAAACACTGTTTCTGTCTATTTTATGTGACAGGGTGGATATGCCTGAGAAACCATGTCAGAAATAACAAATTAATGTCAAATCAGGGAAGAACTCAATTTTAAACTTCCTCTTAAAAATATATGGATGTCAGTTCCTCTTCATAATTTTTGAGGTAAGTAGAGAAATTAAAAAGAAAAAGGTTTATATATTCGAAAGCAAAAACATTCATTTAGTGTGAATGGCAAACTAATTTTATATTTTGGAATAATAAATAAGATAAAAATACTATAAGATAAACATAATTAAAAGATCAATATAAATAGTATATATACACAGTATAAATTATAAAAATACCATCACATAAAATAATGTTTTTTTTGTTGTTGTCGTTTTTGTTTGTTTTTTAAATAAAACCGAATATAATTTAATTTATTTAAACTCGCAAAACATATAATAGCATATTTTAGTTTGTTGCATTACGTGTATATATCAATCCCAACTTATTGTTTGAATACAAAATACATGTCAACACGGAAACATCTTTAATAATAATCGCAATGTTTTCATGAGAAACTTTGTAGAGTGCAGTACCTGTAAAAGGGCTGGGTAGCTGGGAACAGAGAGGCGTCGCAGACACAAATACTGAGCTTCGTGGGTCAAGGAAAACCTTTTGGAGCGGCTTGACCGGAATAACTCTATCTGGTTGGACTGGTCACTGTAAAAAGACATTTTTAGTTAATAACACTGATCACACACTTTTATTTGTCAACGACAACAAAAAAATGTTAGTCTTTGAAAATCTCTCTATATGTAGCTGAGTAAAACTGAGCATGAACCATTATTTCTCACACAGCCCGAGTCTTAATCACATAAACACAAGTCAGTATGACAGTACAGTACTCGTTAGAAAGTTGATCTGGTTGATCTGTTAATAGCTAAAACATGTTTACTAAAAGTTTATTTGTGTGCATGTAAATAAAATGTCCAACCCTGCAATTACACCTGATCATGCATGCTTTGTTGTAGCTCAGCCTGACAAGAAAATAGTCAGCCTAGCTTAACAAAAGTGCTTTGAGTACATAAAGAGACTGTATTATAAATCACAAAACACCTCAAAAGTATTGCAAGTGTAAGCACCTGCTCTGCATGGAGCACACTTGATCTCCTTGCCAAGAAACTTGTAATTATTAAAGGGTTAGTTCACCCAAAAATGAAAATTAGGCTGCGTTTTACTCGCCCTCAAGTCATCCTAGTCTCCTCTTGGCTTATATCGAAATCCTCCGACATTCTTCTTTACAAATCCTCGTTTTGTACTTCTAATAAGTGATCGTTGTTTTGTTTTGATCTCTCCGCTGGGCTTCCGCGTGCATCACTTCTGAGCGGCGCTTGCACAAAGCTGACCTCATACCAGGATGCCTCGGGGGTGAGTAAAACACAGCCTAATTTTCATTTTTGGGTGAACTAACCCTTTAACTGCACTGTTCAGCATAACTGCTCAGATGTGTTCATGAGATCTCTGCCAGCAAAGTAGCCAGCAGGAGTAACAAGCTAACTATTGTTTCAGTAATGCGAGTCCTCAGCTTCAAGAAACTGGAACAGCTAATTAAGAAAACTGCATTTCTGAATGACATTTCCTGATGAAAACTCACCACTGATGTCTGAGTCGGCCTAACTTTTCTTTGATAGTTTTGAGCCTAGATATGTCAGAGGGCCACACAAATACACTCTCCCAAAAAAAGGTATAAAAGCTGTCACTGGGGCCTTTCAGAAGGTACTTATATGCACAATTCAGGTACTAATTTGTACACTTTTGGTGCTTTTACTCTACTAATATATTCCTGTTTAGTACAAAGGTGACCCTTTTGAAAGGCACACCAGTAACAGCTTTTATTCCTTTTTTTCTGAGAGCCCAGGTCAAAACCACCGGCCTCTATGGCTGTGTCTGAAATACTCTCCGAGTAGGTACTTGTTTAAAGTACTTACTTCTCAACTGTTAAAAAGTATGTTCTGTATAGTATGAATAATTCTGTTGTACTACATCCACCATGTTGTTGTTGTCATGTGACCTATAGGTATATAGGTCTGCTTTTCTGTCATGTATAAATCCTCTCCAGTGGCCACATGGGATAGTAAAGTCCATCTGATGCACACTTCAGAATCTTTCCAGGGTCATGTCACACATAGAGCAACAATTATAGTACAGAATGAGCAACAATATACTCAAACACATCCGTTAACAACACACCATACCAGCTACGCCTGTCATGATTGAACATCATCAAACATTAATTTCCCAGTTTTCCTCCCTAGTATCTTCTACACAACTCACCCCGAGGGTCTCCACAACCTCCGGCCGGGTGGCAGCAGCTCGCGCTTGTTGAGAGGTGTGATCCCGATGGCCGCTTGCATTATGGTGATGAATTTCTTGTATTTAATTTTAAAAGTTCTCTGGTTCTTCTCCGTTCCTTAGATCTACAGAGGCTCTCAGTGCCACTTAACCTCCCTGTTTACCAACTTTAACATCACCGACAAAGCTAAGTATAATCTCATTTAAAGCAGTAAGCAGTCATTTTTCTATTAGACCCATCATTGCACACACACTATCTGCATTACTGAATCGGTCCTGCTCTGTGGAATCTCATAGATGCCCATTTCGTTCTCCTCGTAGGACAAGAGAGGGAAAAAAGAGAGAGAGAGAGAGAGAGAGAGAGAGAGAGAGAGAAAACAACGACCACGTTGGGCAGAGCGTCACTCTTACATAATTCTGGAGATCTCAAACATTAGTCTAATGAAAATGCTGTGAGGGGGGATAATTGTGGTACTAAGCCGTGACAGATCATGGATGCACCCTGGCCTGTTTCTCTGTAATCCCTCCGCCGCCGCTGGCTTAGCCTGCACCCATTATCACCCATCTGCCATCACCAATACGTGCACACATATGTACAAGATTTGTCTGTTCGCAAACACACCACCCTAGAGATGATTTTCACCGTGTTACTTTGGTGCAGGGATGGAGTAACTGGGCATCCAGGCCTATTCCTCCACCCAATATGAGATGACATTTATCATCCAGTGGTTTGCGCACTGGATTATGGGCAGGAGGAGATTGTGCTGCCAAAGTGCAGGGGCTCTAAAATCCCCTCCATACTCCAAATCACCTAAAGCCCCGCAAATGAAACAGTCTATTTTTAGACTGTGGGACATCTTTTGACAGGTCACGTTTCCACAGAGCAGCTCTGGTAAGGTCCGCTCAACTGTAAAAACTATTAAGATTCATCAGTTTAGACCTCAGACCAGAAACAGGATTATTCTGAGAGCACAGAGTGCTGGCAGACTAGCAGCAAAAGACCTGAGCTGCCATAATACAACACAGTAATAGACAAGAAAAATGTGGGGGAAAAAACACTGTATAAAGACAATATTTGTAAAAGGTGATATCATATGATCTAAAAATAAAGATATTTATATTATATTGCAATATAACTAAAAATTTTTTTTGTATTGGAAATAATTTTCAGCCTTTTGATGATATTCAGTATTTTAGTATTTTTACATACTTGATCTTAAATGGCCTGAAAAGGTGCTTTTTTTATTTTATTTATTTTTTTGGTAAAAAATACATTTAAACCAACAAAGCCACTGCAAATTAGATTCTAGATGTTTAATCTAAGACATAATTATAAATAATATTAACATTTAATAAAATGTTTATACATTTATCTTTTTTTCAAAGAAATTAATAAAAAGTTTGAACTGTTTGCAAGTTATAAATCACAGAAATGAGAAGGGGTTGCAGAACTAATGACTTCAATATATATAATAGCCAGATAATAAGCATATTAAAATCATTACAATATTCAGAATGACACAGAATTTAATACTGGCATGAAAACGTCACAAATATAATGGAAAAGCTCTCTCTCGCTCTCTCTCTCTCTCTCTATAGCCTGTACAGTGCTGCTTGAAAGTTTGTGACCCCTTGCAGAATCTGTGAAAACGTGAGTAATTTTAACAAAATAAGAGAGATCATACAAAATGCATTTTATTTTTTATTTAGTACTGTCCTGAGTAAGATATTTTACATAAAAGATGTTTACATTTAGTCCACAAGACAAAAAAAATAGCTGAAATAATTAAAATAACCCCATTCAAAAGTTTGGGACTCAGAAAAATCCTCTGTGTCCTGCAGATTCTTCAGTTTTCCAGTATCTTTTGCATATTTGAACCCTTTCCAGCAGTGACTGGAAAGATCCATCTTTTCACACTGAGGACAATTGAGGGACTCAAACACAACTATTAAAAAAGGCTCAAACATTGACTGATGCTCCAGAAGGAAACAAGATGCATTAAGATGCATTAATTAAAATTTTTTTTGCGTAACTTGTCAGTGAACTACGGCTATGTGTAGTAAATTCTGCTCCATCTGAAAGCACGTGATGATGATTTCCTGCTGATTACAGAACCGGCTTTACTAACAAAATGCGCATGACAATCGCATTTGATTAATCGTGCAGCCCTAAGCAACCTACTAGAGTAAACAAACATGAGTCTAATGGCGCTTTTCCACTGCATGGTACGGCACGGTACGGCTCGGTACGGTTCACTTTTGGGGGGTTTTCCACTGGGTACAGTACCTGGTACTTTTTTTAGTACCACCTCGGTTGGGGTTCCAAGCGTACCGTACCGTTACCAAAACGTGACGTGTAAACTCTGCTGATCACGGATTGGCCGGAGAGAATCGTCACTACCTGCGTCACTGAACTTGCGACACAAACACAAAAGAACCGCTAGATTTAAATCAGCACAGCCAGCGAAGCATCGAACGCAACTGTTTTGAACTAGCGCACCTTTTTTTAACAACCAAAAAGTGTCTGTTCCCCCTGTTGAGGAAGTACAGACGTTCCTCTCGTTGATAGCAGAGGAGCGGATCCAGCCAGAGCTTGCGAATACGAAATGAAACAATTTTATTCGTGCGCTGTAATGCAAATCTTTTTTTTTTTGATTGCGAGTAACAGACCCAAATCCAAGCCTTTATTCTGCGATCTTCATCTCCATCCCGAGCAGCGAGTCCAGTGACCGTAAACAGCA